TATCTATCTATCTATCTATCTATCTATCTATCTATCTATCTATCTATTTCCATTCTTTGTTATTTTTATAAATAACTCCAGACAGCTAACATATCAAATACACCTTTTTCTCCAGTTTTCCCTGCAACATGTGGGTTGTGCTCAGGGACAGGGATTGGCCTAAAGTTATGCAGCCAGCTCCTTGGCTAAGGTGGGACTAGAACTCTCTGTCTCCTGGTGATTGGCCCAAAGTCACCCAACTGCCTTTCATGCCTAAGGCAGGAACTAGAACTCCTCATCTCCTGGTTTCTAGCCTGTTGCCTTAACCACTAAACTAAACTGGCTCTCCATATCCTTCCTCATAAGAGTTCCCTCCCTCCCCAGGGATCGTTCTTAATATTCCTCTCTTATTTTTTCCCCCTCCTTCATCCTCAGGAGTTCTCCGAGGAAGAATTTGAATCCATGGCGTCCAGTTGGCGAGCAAAATTGCAACGCTGTGCAGCCGGAGACCAACGCTGGGGAGTCTTCCTCGCCCAGAAGCCAGAGTAGATCAGGGCAGGAATTCACACACACACAAACACACACCCAGACACCTTTCTTTGTTGCTGTTAGTTGCGAAGTCGTGTCCGACCCAACGTTCCTCCAGGCCTTCCTGTCCTCTACCATCCCCCAGAGTCCATTGAAGCTCACGCCGACTGCTTCAGGGACTCCATCCAGCCACCTCCTTCTCTGTCATCCCCTTCTTCTGTTGCCCTCCATCGTTCCCAGCATTCGGCTCTTCTCCAGCGAGTCCTTCCTTCTCATGTGTTGGCCAAAGTCTTTGAGTTTCCTCTCCAGGATCCGGCCTTCTAAAGAGCAGTCAGGGTGGATCTCCTCTAGGACTGACCGGTTGGATGGCCTTGCAGTCCGAGGGACTCGCTGGAGTCTCCTCCAGCCCCAGAGTTCAAAGGCCTCCATTCTTCGGCGCTCAGCCTTCCTTACAGTCCAACTTTCCCAGCCATAGATTGCCACTGGGGGAACCACAGCCTTGACTCTACGCCCCTTCGTTGGCAGGGGGATTTGTCTCTGCTTTTGAGGAGGCTGTCTGGATTTGCCATAGCTTTCCTCCCCTAGGAGCAAGCGTCTTTTAATTCCTTGCCTGCAGTCCCCATCTGCAGTGGAGCCCAGGGAAATAAATCTGTCACTACCTCCATTTCTTCCCCATCTATTGGCCAGGAATGGAGAGGGACGGATGCCACGATCTTAGTTTTCTACCCCCTGGTTATCTCCAAAACTTTCTTGAACTTCAAACTTCTTTTCTTTTTTATATTGTTTTAATTTTTTAAATATTAAATATTTAAAATATTAAGTATGTTTTAAATACAACAAATCCATTCCATTTCAATCGCGCATTGATTAGGTACATATTTCAACTATTTAGCCATTATTAATAATGTTCTTCTTGTCAAACTTAACAATATAACAAAAATCACGCTCCTATGTAAATAATAGAAATGAAATCCAATATATCTATTACAGTAGTTTCTCTTATTGCTCTATGAATACATCCAATCCCTTTTAATTTGTATTTTCTATCCATTGATAAAACAAATCCCATACCATATCGTATTCAGATTCTTCTTTTTCTTTAATTTCTAGTGTCAGTCTATTCATTTCTGCACATTCAAATATTTTTTCAATAATTTTTCCCTTTATCGGTATCTTATCACTCTTCCAGTTTTGGGCAAATACAATTCTAGCCACTGTTAAGACATGTATGATTAAGTAAATCTTTACTATAAGCTTCTGGTACCATTCCTAATAGGAATATATTTCAAGCTTCAAATTTATATGTTGTTTAATCATTTTTTCCAACCACATGTGTATCTTAGTCCAACACATTTTAGCCTCTGGGCAAATCCACCAGATATGATAATATGTTCCTGATATTTGATGGCATAGTGGCCACCTCCAGATGGGAATGGGCCTGGCTCTCTCACTCTCCCTGAGGATTTGCAAATCCCAACAGCTTTGCTCGGGAACACGGGGCGTTGTGGGGAAGACATGGTCTCCACCTAATGACGCTGCTGGCCGTTGGAGCAGATGGTTGCAGGCTGAGTCATTCCAGGGTGGTTGGCAAGCCGGAGTTGATAGCTCTGCCTCTCGCTCCTTCCCTCCCATCTGGTTCTGTTTTCCTCCCGTTGCTTTCTTCCAAATAATCAGTTCCAGAATATCGTTGAGTGCAAGGAATGTCCCACCTCCAGCTGACGAAGAATTCTGTAGAGCTCCGAAAATGGCACCATTGTCTTTTTTTTTTTTTTAACCTGTCGAAGTATCCTAATAAAAGGATGGGTCGTCCTTGACCGACGACTACGCTCCGCATTTCTGCTGCGAGACCTTGGCCGAGTGAGTTTTGCCCTGTTTTATGACCACGATTGTTAAGTTGAATCACCACAGTTGTGAAGTTAGAACACGTTGGCTTCCTTGTTGATTTTTCTTGGTTGCAAAAGGAGGATCATGTGTCCCCGGGACACTGCAGCCGTCATAAATATGAAACCAGTTGCCAAACGTCTGGATTTTGATCACGCGGGGATGCTATAAGTGTGAAAAACAGTCATGTCCCTTTTTGAGTGACACAGTAGCTGCAAACGGCCACTTAATAAGTGCTTGGCAGGGGGTTGGACTAGAAGACCACTGCGGTCCCTTCCAACTCTGTTATTCTGTTATTTTGTTCATATCAAAACTTTAAACTGCCCCGTCGCTGAAATGTGCTATTTATGATGAAGCCCCTACCCAAGTCGCAAACTGATATAAAAATATCTCAAAGAAAACCAAATCAAATTCAGAACAAAAGCTTCACCCACATTAGCAGTAGCAGCCTCAGGGCAGCCATGAAAAAAAAATCTTAAAGAATCTGCATTCAAAGCCAACGCGGAAGATTGATGAGCCTTTTGACCTCCAAAAGGGGAGAAATTTGCTGATGTCCTGCTTGCCGTATCTGTAGTTACATCATTCAGGCTTGGCTGGGAACTGGGGTGAGGAATGGAGGTCAGCTGCCTGACCACAAATATTCTGAATTTCTCTAGGTCTGCAAATTCTCCTTTTTAAAAATCTTCTAAAATGTTCAACCAGCCAGAGTTGCTTTGTAGTTTTGCAGACCTGCCACCAGAGGGCAGCGTGCCTCTATTTGCTTGCCATTGGAGGTGATGCTGACCAGCATCAAGCAGTGATTTGCCACTTTCTGGAGGGGTATCCTGGTTTGCCCCTTGGAGGAAACCCACTGCAAAGAATCAGGGGCGCCTGCGTTCTCCAGCTGTTCCAAACTATAACTCCCATTGGCTGCAAACTTCAAAACTAGCCTGCTCACCTTCCGACTTCTCAATCTCATGGCCTGCATTCTAGAATAGAATAGAATAAGAAAGAATGGAATGGAATGGAATGGAATGGAATGGAATGGAATGGAATGGAATGGAATGGAATACAATACAATACAATACTATACTATACTATACTATACTATACTATACTATACTATACTATACTATACTATACTATACTATACTATACTATACTATACTATACTATACTATACAATTCTTTATTGGCCAAGTGTGATTGGACACACAAGGAATTTGTCTTAGTGCAAATACTCTCAGTATACATAAAAGAAAAGATGCATTCGTCCAGAGTCAAGAATCATCAGCTACAACACTTAATAATTGTCATAGAGTTATATAGTAATAGGGTATATAGTAAATAGAATATAGTTATAGGGTACAATAAGATATCAAATCATACTAGGAAACAGTCAATAATAATCATAAGGATACAAGCGACAAAGTTACAGTCATACAGTCCCAAGTGGGAGGGGATGGGTGATAAGGAGTGATGAGAAGGTTAATAGTAATAGTAGTGCAGACTTTGTAAATAGTTGGACAGTGTTGAGGGAATTATTTGTTTAGCAGAGTGTTGGCGTTGCGGAAAAAACTCCCCTTGTGTCTCGATGTTCTGGTGTGTAGTGCTGTATAGCATCATTTTGAGGATAGGAGTTGAAACAGGTTTAAGTCCAGGATGTGAGGGGTCTGTAAATATTTTCACAGGCCTCTTTTTGACTCGTGCAGGATGCAGGTCCTCCATGGAAGGCAGGTTGGTAGCCATTGTTTTTTTCTGCAGTCCTAATCATTCTCTGTGACACAGTCTGTGTCTGTCCTGTTGGGTTGCAGAACCGAACCAGACAGTTATAGAGGTGCAGATGACAGACTCTGCAAAAGTTTATGCTTTGCAGTTTGCAATAGGTTTGCTCAGCTGATGACAACATGCATACTCCAGTTCCCAGCAGGCTGGCTGGGAATTCTGGAAATTGCAAACCCCAGAGCCTGGGAAGGTTATAAAAAAAAAAAAAAAAAAGCCCAAAAGCTTCCTTGTAAAATGAGCTCAGCTCCAAATGACTCACAGGGACACGTACACAGAGCAGAAGTATTTTGTCTCTGACTGGTGGGGTTGATTTCATTTCATTTCAAGTTATTAAATTTATATGCCACGCAATTTTCAGCAGCCTCTAAATTCTAACACCGTGAAATCTGATGTAACAGAACCTTATCTAATTCAATGTTAGAGAAAAGGATGGTTTTACACTTAGGAAGAAAAACCAAATGTACAGGTGCAGATTAGGTGAAACCTGGCTCAGGAGAAGGAATTGTGAGAAGGATCTTGGAATCCTAATTGGACAGCCACTTCAATATGAGCCAGCTGGTGGCAGCCAAAAAAGCCAACACAATCCTAGGCTGCATTAACAGAGGGATAGAATCAAGATTGTGAAGTGTTAGTACCACTTTAGAAAGCTTTAGTAAGACCACACGTGAAATATTGCATCCAGCTTTGGTCATTATGTTATATTATAAAAAGATATATTAAAAAAACTCTGGAAAGAGTGCAAAGAAGAGCAACAAAGATTATTAGGGGGCTGGAAGCTAAAACATAGGAAGAACGGTTGCAGGAATTGGTGTGATGGCCCGGGACGTGACACAAAAATAACAAAGTCACGAAAGTAGAATAAATTCCCTTTAATGCCTCCAACTTGGCCCCAATGTCCAATTATCCTCAGCTGGAGATCAAACTCTTCCAAAAAACAGTCTATGAAGGAAAGAAATGCAGTCTGAACCCAAAGTAAAGATAATTAGAAATAAAAAAAACTAACACAAACCACACTGAAGTAATTAACACGGCAGGCCAGGATGATAAATTGCAGACTTTCAAAGCATAACGCAGCACCCACAGTTGGGAGGATGCCAAAACCCAGATAAGCCTCGACCAAGAAAATGCACTCTTTGCTTCCAGCAAGGAGCTGTGTGCAAACGCCCCACTTATATCCTGTTCTCCCAGCTGCAACTAATGAAGGGGATCAGGGCCCTTTTCTCTCCCGTAAGCCACATTGCTCCCTTCTCCATTTCTCCCTGCGTGCCCCAGGATGAAGAGAGGGTGGGCCTGGGTTTTCCTGTGAATGCCCAGCCAGACTGTGCCCTTCCCCCGTTTCTTCCACAGCCACTGGAGCCACACTCCCACTCCCCTCAGAATCAGACTCCAACAAGGGCATGACAGTTGGGTACGTCTAGTCTAGTGAAAGAATAGGGAGACATGATAGCAGAC